GTGGCCCAAAGCTCCGTTCCACATGTGTGTCAAGGCTTAGAAGAGTTTTTTTTTTGGACCAGTCTAGTTTAGTTGCTGTGATTTTTTTAAGTCACTCGTTACATGAATGCATTGTAACACATGTGTATGATTGTGTTTTATTTCTTAAAATGTTCTTAAAAATACAGTAGAAGATTTTAGAATGTGATCTTCAAAATATTGCACAGTCCTGGTTTACTTTTTATTTTGAAATCAATTACACTGTAGGTAAACTTGTCATAAAGTAGGCCTGTCACAATAACTAATGTTGACAGGTGATTAATTGTGATTAATTAACTATTATTAACTATTATATTAAAAATACTTACTGATCATCCTATAAATACATTTTACTTTAAATCAATTTCATTAAAAAGAAAACCAATATTTAGACACATTAGATGTTTGAGAAAATTGCAAACATCTTTTGCAAGGAAAACTTAGACCCAAAAGGCCCCAAATAATGTTGTTTAATCCATCAGTTATAGAACTACAAGTCAATAATTTGGCCTACACGTATAAATCATTTTGATCAAATCATGACTTGAATATGAGCCGCAGGTTTTCATGTTGTAACAAACCAGATCATGGAGCAAAACAAAGATGAATGTTTTAACTGATTGCAACACGATTTAATGATGACGATCAAAGCACTCTGGAAAATCCAATCTATTTTGACAGCAAGATTCCTACTAAACCTTCCTTGTAAAAGTCAATGGAGTGAACCAAATAAGGCCATACCCTCTGCTCTGAATAGTTTAATCAAATAAAAACCAGTCATGTGTATTTCCCTGCCCTTTCCACACACCAGGCCTCTGCTTTTCACATCAACACTTTGAGATATGTGTAAATACAAACACTGGATGCATCGCTGTACAAGCCGCAGAGTCAAGAGTTTTTGTTAAAAGTAGCGGCTTATAGTCCGGTAAGTATATGAAGGTGGTAATAATACTTGGATTTTAAGATAATAATAATAATAATTGTTAAAGTATGTAACAGTTGTCTCCAGTATCATTCAGCTCTGTGTGAAACATTTGGGGAAAGTCTAGAAATGTCCAGAATAGTCCCTTTTGTCAACAAGAAATGTCCAATTTGTGAACCACACGTTTACATATTAAAGGGGGAGGTTTTACTTTTAAAACTAGGAACTAATGGCTGTTCCTTTTCCTACACGTATTATTGGAGGAATATGGGATTCCACCTTTTTTGGCAAATATCTTTCAAAAGTGAGAATGAATACCCCCCTCTACTCAATGTGAAAACAAGTCTATAATTTAACTTTTCAAATATAAAATGTTGTTTTTCTGATTTAGATGGACGTGATTTGTCTGGGAGAGAAATTGAAAAATGGAAATAAATAGTCAGAGTTGGGTATTTGGCCAAAACGGTGCAGTCTGAAGAAGCATTCAAATATAACTCAATGGGAGATTAAAATGTTGTGAGCTGTGTGACATCACCACATGAAGTCATACCGTCCACAGAGAAGCACTCCTACAGAAGCACCTCATGGGATTCATACTTTATACTCTGACATGGCTCTACCCAATTTTGACACAAAAAAAATATTGTATCTTTTACCATCTGATAAAACTAAGGTACCAAACTTTCACGAGACAAACACTTAAGCCGCGTAAAAAAATCTATTAAACTAGTTCCTGGCTCTCATCACGTTGTTCTACATGTATTCACACATTCAGATTATTCTCATATTCTCTGCTACTAAAGTACATTATACACATCTGTAAATACCTCTGAACCAAGTGAAATTATAGCCCCAGTTTTATCTAATTTCCCATCTTATTACTTTATTATGTTAATGTCATTGTCTATTAATTTAAATAATAGATCCCGTTTGATGTGTGTAATCTGAGTGCTCCCATTTCCTTCTCTGTCTGCTGTAATGTGCGCAAAGGTTGACACTGAAATTTCCCCACTGTGGGACAAATAAAAAGGAATATTTAATCTAATCTTATCTTACTCAAACATAAAAATGAACCCTCACTCAGCCAACCAGCTCTCAGACCCAAAGAATCAAACAGCGTCAAATAATGAAGACAATTTGCTTTAATCCAATTCGCTCACAAAATTTCACTTTTACGAGTCTCTATCGACTCAAAACACAATAGATTTCAAATAAAAAAGGGGGGGAAGTGAAGTACTCCAGCTTTAAGACATTAAAAACACTATTTCTATTCATCTGGAGACTGACGCAGTGTCTTACTAATACCAGGCCGCCACGCAGCTCCCAGCATGCAACAGCCCACTTCAGCTGCTTCCTGTCGCACACAGGGAAAAGGCTACGGATCCCAACACATGACGCAACCCCGTGTGAAGGCAGCGACAGACTATAAAAAGGCTGGAGGGGGCAATCAATCACGGACCGCTTTGAAGATCTGATTCACTCAATGCTAATTTTGCAGATATCGTTACTAAAAACAATGGGTTCGAATTGATCAAGTTACTTAGAGAAAGATTAGAGAGATACCACTTTATAATGTGAAGAGTGTAATTGAAAGTGGGAATGCACAAATACTGAAACTGGTGATGAATATTGATCCAAGAACATGTATTGAATCTGTTCAATAGATTAAACAGAAAATCTTTTGTCCCGACAGAATTAGATGCAAGATTTTGTGAACAAATCAGAACCAATCCAAGCTGTTTTTTTTTTTCATCTTTACGTTTCCTCTTTTACATAATGAGAGCTGATTGGCTAAGTGAGGGCGGTCCTCTCATTTTCACTTTTCTCTCTATAAAAGACACGGCAAAGGCCAAAAACGCATGTATGAAAAAAATAGTGATAGAACAAACATTTTAATGGTTTTAAATGACTTTGTTGCTTTGTACTTTCAGAACAAATAAAATTTCAACACAATTGGATCCATTCTCTTAAACATTTTCTATGATTTAATTTTCAGTCCCGTCACCAATATGAGCAGCCATGGAGGGCCCTAGTACAGAGATTGTATCAGGCATGAAAAGTATTGTATCTGTGCAACCCTAACCCTAAGAATATATCTTAATATTAGTATTCACCTCCACTATAGACAGCAACACATAATGCACACATGAAGCTACAAAGTTTCTAAATGCATACAATAGGAATGTGCTGCACGAGGCTTGGCTTGTCAGGACATGGCTCTGTACTCATCTGGATTTGAAGTTTTGATTATTTTTTTTTTCAGTGTGTCAAGTGCCAAGAGCCTTCTCGCGTAAATTCTAGAGAATGTTATAATAAACACATTGAGGTGCACTAACCAGATTTTCAACTGAAGTGAGTGTCATGTACCACTTTGCCTAGTTTCAAAGGTTAGCAAAAACAAATCCATCTAAAAAAGACAGAAATATGATCAGACCGGGTTACAGATCAGATCTTCGGAGAGCCGGCCCTGCTCTCAATTTGAAAAACATGTACTTGAGTAGATACCAACCAGAAAATCTACCAATATGTAAAATGTAACACAATTCCTACTATACCATGCACTAAAATCAAGCAGGACTGAGCATTTTGAAGCCCTTTCTGGTGTCTGTACTGTAGTTTTTCTAATCCTCCTGGGAGAAATAGTGAGAGATATAATCCCTCTAAAGTCTTCAGAGGAGAGGAATAATGAGATCCTGCCCAGAAAGCAGGTGATTGCTGGAGTCTTGACTGTTACCAGAGCATTGGAAAAGTGCTGATCATAATAAATCAATGTACTTGGGTGTTCAGCCGCGACAGTCAGAAGTAGTCATTACAACAATGTAGAATGTCATAAGTATAAGAACTGGAGGACAGATTACTTTTGGTCTTCGTGTTTCTGATGGTGCAATAGAAAATATCTGGTTTCTTCATGGGAACAATAACGATAACCCCAGAGAATTTGTTTTGAAAGTATCTGGGTCAAAATGCTTTTTGTGATGGATGAGTAAAAGTATGAGTCATGGATCTATCAAGGAATGAGATGCAATGCCATGCCTCAAACAAGTAAAAAAATAAAAATAAAATAAAATGCGACTAAACCACTTCGAACCTACAGACAAACAATGGATCTTACAAAAATATAGAAAAAAAAATAGGCTTGGGGTTGATCCCAGACCTCTGAATGTTTTGTCATTTTCTTCACTGGTATCAAAGGCAACACCAGATTTAAATACAATCCATGATGGCCGTACCATGTGGAAAAGAACTGATCAACACATGTGCATGAAATATCGAGAGATGCTGATCACGGGGCTGAAGAGAACTTATTCTTTCTCCTAAACTCTCTGTTTCATGCGTCTTTACCACTTGTGACTCATCTTTCATAATGTTTTCCCTAAACATGCACCATTTTAGTTAATAAGCATATATTGAATTTCAATGGGTGAAACCAACATCAAACCAAAAAAAATTAAATAAAAAAATTGAGACAGATCAATGTGAAGAAAAGGAATTGGGATGTCTTAGTTTTCCAGATTGCCAAGCCTGGATTGTGATTATTGAATTATAAATATAGAGATATGGACTCAGTAAATGCAAAGGGACATATGCAAAGCCTTTGTGTGTTATATTTTTGATCATTATGGCTTACAGCTCATTAAAATAGTATATCATAATTTTCTGAGGAGTTTTATTTGGGTTTTTGACAAGCTTTGAGCAAATCATCAACATTAAAACGAAAAAAAGGTTTCATAATACTAGTCTCGCTTTGTAAGTCGAGATTCAGAAGACCGTTTTCAGAGTGCTCTTATTTCTTTTTTCCCCTGCTGAAATGTGCGCAACGATGACATTGAAATTTCCCCACTGCGAGACGAATAAAAGGTTTCTCTTATCTTAGAGTTTCACCTCTATTACTGAGCAAATATGCATTTTTCCTTCCTCTTCAGTCCATAAAAGCAGTTTACTCAAGTACGGGACTACAACACATTCACTTTTACCACAGTATTCACTTCAGAACAAAGAGTATAGAGTATCCTTCTGTTCAGAGGTGTGAAAAGTACTTGAGCAACTTGGCATCACTCACCTGTAGCTCACACCAGGCCACCTCAACCCAGGTCTCGGTGTCGAAGCCCTTGTAGACGGTCTTGAAGGATCCTCTCCCCAACTCGATGTCAAACTTCAGAAACCTTCCTCCTGGAGACGTGGCCACAGCCTTCATCTCGGCCTCCTCTTCGTTATCCTCGCTGACCGCCTTCACCGCGCTCTTCCCGCCATCTTGGCACGGCACGGTCGACACCTCTGCACCACCACCACCAACACCCTTCTCCTTATCCTCATCTGCACTAGCACTTTCCGTCGCACTGTCCTTCTGCCCGCCTTGGCTTTCAGTGCTGGATCCTTCTTGAATGGCAAAGCTACCACTCCGGGTCCTGTCCACGATTGTCCTCAAGTTGATATTGAGCAGTTTGTTTTTATTGTCACACTCTGGAGCCTCGAACGCTTGCTCTTCCACGTCTGCAAACCATAGATTTCGTCGGATGAATCTCTGATGGACAGTTTTTTGATAGTTGGACAAAGGGAAGGCGTCGGAGCCACTGCTACTTTTCTCGTCGCCGTTCATTTTGGAGTCGTTCACTGGAGGGGGGAGGTTCTGGAGGTGGTTAGAGTTCATGCCACCGTTGACATTCATGGTTCAACACGTTTTGGTTTCAGCACGGGAGGCTATGGCTGAGGGGCTGGCCGTCTGTCCACTCGGTGACGCAGTTTGGCAAGAGGAAGTCCCCAGCAGCGGAGGCAGCAGCAGCAGCAGGGTGGACAGCACAGACTTCAGACTTCATGAACAAGCCCCATGAGCTGGAAAAACACAAAAAGAGCAAAACAGAATGAATACAGCTGTTTGTATACACAGTAGATGCACAGAACTATTGTGGTGGAATGCTTTTATACATTAGTTTGCCTTAAAAAGACACATACAACTTATCAACATGGTGTTATATGGCATAACTCCAGGCCCATATTAGCACTAATACTAATAATGATAAAATACTGGATGGACAATGGGTACAAATGTATACAATGGAATATTCAATGTAGTTATTTCAATACAGAGAAAGTCGGTCAATGTAATTAAATATATCCATGAAAGCAAGGTTTGTGAATGGGCAACAAAAGTCCTTGTTTGATTTCACTTAGCAACATACAGAGCTCAGCATGGATAACGCCTAAAAAACGTCACTAATGAAATGCAGACCGAAGACAATCCAAGGCTTAAAAAATATGTACAGTGTCAATCACAATTGCAAGTATGATGTAAATATGCATCACAATTTCACATGCGCCACACGCGTTGGATGATAGTGGAACATACACATACACACATATTACATACACACACACACACACACACACACACACTCACCCATGCCACAGCCACAAGCGCAGGGAGGGAGACCACACAGCAAAAGTCACGCTTGCAATCCACGTTTTTTTTTTTTTTTTCTTTTTGCAGACCTGTCGTGTAGAGATCAACAGCAACGCTTTTCCTCAGAGCAGCAGGAATACCTCAAGAAGATGTGGACTTTAAAACACCCCATCTATGAACGCGCCTCATGGTGGAACGAGCAGGCGTAAAAAGAGCCGTGTGCGTAAAACGGGTCAAACGTTGTGAGAAATCCCATTAGAAAATAAAAAAACCAAAAAACTCAAAAAGTAGGCTATTTATCTCCATACACGGGCGTGCATCTTCACACGTCGGCGTCCAGGCTGCTTCTCCGTGTCCAGACGCCAGCACGGACTGACACAGGCGCATCCACAATGGCGCTTTAAGAGGGAGGAATGCTGAGTTTCCCCGTGCTCCTGTAGGTGTGTAATCTGCCAGAACAACAGTTTTGAGCGGTCATCGTTGGAGCTTCGGTTTTTTTTTTAGGCGGATACAGCGGCTCACAAATGCGCTCCCATTCAATAACCGCCTGCGATCCACGCCCCTGGAGCCGAGCGGGGACGGCGGCCAATCAGAGCGCGCGTCCGCAGGTCTCACGAGCACGCGGGTTACAGCTACAGCAGAAGAAGAAGCAGAAAAAGCAGAGATGTGTCAGTCTGTGGATCAAAGCATTTCATTTTAAAACCGCTTTATGTACCGGGAATGTAGAACACTGTGGGATTTTACTATTATGTGTCAGGATTTAACCATTTAAATGCTGTAAATGCAAATGATTAGAACAAGATTATGATTAAAAACTCTTAAAAGACATAATTTAGTTTTTTTTTTCTTATTGTAAAATGTATATACGATCTTTGAAAACACGTGACCTGAGATCTAAAGTACATAATGGCCGAAGAAATAAACTACCACTAATTATGAGGTCCCCATTGGTCCCACAGTGCATGGGAAATACCAGTGTTGCATCACAAGTTACAGAACAGTAGGAATGAGGAGCACACAGCTTTAAGATACGTAAGTGAACATCAAGTGCAGCTCAACTTCAAAAATAAAAATACATTTTCAAATTTCAGCTGAATAACAAGGGAAAATATACACAAGCATATAACACAAGATATAAACAACAAGTATATATAACAACATAGTATATAAAATATATACTATGATATATAACAACAAGTATATAAACCTGTATACTGTAAGGTACGATTAGATATACTAGTATTAATATGTCGCATTTGGAATAAATAGAATCACTGCGGGTGGGTAAAAAGAAAATACATTTGCAAACACTCACATTGAAATATACTTGTATGTACAGTAAACATGCTATAGGTAAATCTGTGATACTATAGTGCAAGAATATTGAAGTAACAATTAGCTCTGAGGGTTCAAATATTCACAGTAATGATACAACTGTTCATTTTAGCTGCATGAGGCTCTTATTCAGATTCAGATCAGATTGATTTTATTTGCCATGTGCAGTATACAAACCACATTGGAATACATTTGCAAAAAAATGTACTCTGTGTGCACCAACATAATAAAGAGAACAAAACAATGTAATATAAAATAAAATACACATACACTGAACATAAGAGCTGACACTGTGGCACCGAACAACAAAAAACAATACAAGGGTTGAATGTTTCAGTGGGAGGGGAAACCGGGGCACCCAGAGAAAACCTCCACAGACAGTAAAGTATAACTAAACATAACGGGCAGTCCAATTTCTACTTATTCATGATTAACCAAAAAGTCACAATGTACTTGATTTGCGTATTTTGAAATGAACAACAATCAAAGTTTTTCTAAAGATAAAATATTAAAAAGATATTGTACAAAACTCTACATTTTATTTTATACTATACAACACAAAATACAGTACACTATGGTTTGAAGCCGCCATAAAACACACACAGACATTAAACGGTCTCTGGTTTATCTGGAGATTGAATTTGACATTTGATAAGCAATTACTTGGCACTGCACTTGTGTTTTACTACGCAACATTAACAAACCCACTGCACTGTTTTAATGGAGCCGCTTCATTTGACAAACGTTCAGCAGGAGAGGAGGAAGAGGAGGAGGACGAAGAGGAGGAAGAGGAGGAATAGGACAGGGCTCAGACACAGACACTTCCTGCTCTGTGTCATCCACGCCACATCAAGACAATTAAGTTTTCAGCCTCCGCAATCCATAAAGAATGTATAAATAATATAATGACACAAGAAATAACGTTCATTAATTGAATAACACAGGAAATAACATTAAAGAAATAAAATATGTGAAATACAAGAAGTAATGATAGAAAACACGTGTTGTTTGTTCAGATTGATTCATTCATTTGAGCAGAAATGATTTGTTCAGTTTGATTGTTTATTAGTTGAAAAAGTTCTTTGTTTTACATTTAAATACCGTTGTTTGTGGAGATAACATTGTATTTAAATGACTTTTGAATATTTGGTTTTTCTACTGCACAGTTTATTCATTTATACCAGAAGTCAAACAGTAAAGGCCATAGTCTCACCACATGTGAAGATATTTAGAATTTCAATACATTTGTAAACATAATTCATACATTTAGCTTTAGTTTGTCAGTCCAAAAAGTGTCTTATGAAAGTGAAATGTTGTGAACAGATTAGACCACAACATGCCGTCTTCATTTTGGTATAAATTATATTATTATTATTAGTATTATTATTATTATTACATTATATCTTGCACACCTGTAAGAGAGAATTGATTAGCTGAGTTTTAATATTTCTGAAACAATCTGATCTAAAGATGGGTTAAGAGCGCGAAACGATCCAGCGGATTTTATCACGCAATTGTATTTTTTTGAGTTTTGAAAGTTAGGTATCCCAGCTTTAAAGTTTAAGCACAGTGGCTGAGTGGTTAGCCCTCTCACTTCCCAGCAAGAAGGTTCGAATCCCGGTCGGAACAGGGCCTTTCTGAGAGGAGTTTGCATGTGTCTGCGTAAGTTTTCCTCTGGGTGCTCCGGTTTCCACTACCACTAAAAATGCTCACAATTGTAAAGCGCTTTGAGCTCAGGTCTGTGAAAGGCGCTAAATGATTAAAGATTACTTACTTACTTCCTTCACTTGCTCATCTCCCCTGCATATGGACAATGTAATGCCATACTGTGCAACAATTTCATACAAAAAGCAGAACATTATCAAAATCATACATTTTTTACCCCCAATTTATTAAAACTTTATCTCTTTATTTCCAAAACAACACTTTTAATATTAGATCCAGTGTGTGTGTGTGTGTGTGTGTGTGTGTGTGTGTGTGTGTGTGTGTGTGTGTGTGTGTGTGTGTGTGTGTGTGCGGCGGTGGGATCCACGGAGCGTGCGACGCAAGGACAGTGTTTGCTTTGCTCAGTGCGAGGCTGTAAAGCTTAAAGCCCAACAGAGAATGGTGGAAATTAGATTTAGTGTTGGGTCGATTCCATCTGGAGTAGAGCCAGAGGAGAGAGGGGAGAGAGAGGGGAGAGAGAGGACACATGATGGAGGGGAGGCCCGGAAGTGCTGATGGCTGAGGAAGAGATGAAGGAAGGCCAGTGCCACTCAACTTAATGGGAGGTTTTTATCAACTTACAGCCATAACATTATGACAGCAGCGACAGCACAGGTTGATCCGTCACCACAGAGATGGACTAAAGTAACTACATCCACCAAGATACATGTTCAGAATGCTAACTTTGACAAGACTTTGTAAAAAAATCAAAGGAGCAATATATGTGGTATTTGAACATGCCACTTGGACTTTAATCAATACAATATCATATCATATTCAACCTAATCCACTTTATCTATGTAGCACATGTTATAAGTTTAAGTTGCCGAAGTGCTGCAGGGATAAAAGTATCACATTTAAATACACAGGTTTGCCAGCTTCATATGTATAAAAAAATATAGAATAATTGAAACACAATTTATTATCTATTATAACAAGACATTCACTTGTGTGTTTAAAGCTGGGGTACTTGACTTTGAAACCACAAAATAAATAAATATGCTGACTTTGTTCTTGCTCTAAAAACTTTTGATTGTTATACCATTTTCACATGAGTGTAAATTAGCTTCTGTCACATCTTTGATCAGCTTTTTCAGAAAGTAAAGAGAAAACAGAGAAAACCACCCTCATTATGAAGACTGCATGTTGTCTTTGCCAAATGTGACATGTACTTTTCTCAACTTATCTTATCTTATCTTGTAGTCTGATTTCTTCATGACATTTCACTT